CCTGTCCATAGGGCTATCAGCAATAAATTGGACCTTCATTGTGGACCATGTGACACCTTTCTGCTACTCATTAAAAGAGACCCTTTTTTCCCCCTGAGCTGGACACCAAGCAGAAGAAATATCCAGCCCTTTTGAGAAGAGACTGGACAGCCACTTGTCTGAAATGGTCTAGGGCAGGGATGGGGAACCATGGCTCTTTTATGACACGTGGACTTCAACTCCCAGAATTCCTGAGCCAGCCATGCTGAGGGGAAAGGGAGAGGTTTCCAAGCGGAGCCATGGCTGGCTCAGGAATTCTGGGAGTTGAAGTCCACGAGTCATAAAAGAGCCAAGGTTGTCTACCCCTGATCTAGGGACTCCTGCTTGAGCAGGGGGTGGACTAGAAGACCTCCAAGGTCCCTTCCAGCTTTGTTATTCTGTTATTCTGAATGGTCTAGGCCAGGGGTAGGCAACCTTGGCTCTTTTATGACTCGTGGACTTCAACTCCCAGAATTCCTGAACCATCATGGCTCAGCTTGGAAACCTCTCCCTGTCCCCTCAGCATGGCTGGCTCAGGGATTCTGGGAGTTGAAGTCCAGGAGTCATAAAAGAGCCAAGGTTGCCTACCCCTGATCTAGAGATTCCTGCTTGAGCAGGGGGTGAACTAGAAGACCTCCAAGGTCCCTCCCAAGCTTGTTATTCCGTTTTGGGAAATCAGTTCATTACAAGCATTGCGTCCCTTCCTTAAAGTGGTTGTATCTTTTCCCAAACTTGTTGGGAAGCTTAAAAAAAAAAAAAAGAGAGGGGCTGTTTAAATAATTGGGAGAGAGAGAGAGAGGTCCTGGGTTCACCTGAGGTGCAAAGCAACTATGTCAGAAATTTCTCAAAGCATGCAAAGGAAATGTCTGCATTTATGCTGATAAAAAAAAATATGACAGGAAACATACTTCTGTCCATCACAGGCAGGTGTTTCTTTATTTTGCACAAGCATCTTCTTCTCATTCTTGACCCTAAGGAATAATAATAATAATAAAAATTAAAAAAACCCCAATAAAGAAGGAACAAGAGGAGGAGGAGGAGGAGGAGGAGGAGGAGGAGGAAAAGGTACACACCATTTACCAGTCATCTCGCTTAGAAACTGGAGTTCCAGTCCCAGTTGTGATTGTAAATCTAGGACTGCCTGCATAAGTGTTTTCCCTTGCTTGATACTGCAAGCCACAATTAAAACACAGATCTTTGACATACATCGATGCCCACTGTCCTTGCTTTGAAAATGTTGCTTATTTTTAATCATTTCTTTAGTATTGCACTCCAAGGGTTTTCTAACACCTCAAAGTTGCGACAAAACACATCTATGTCAATTCAAAGTGCAACAGAAAACATTTAACAGCGCCAATAGTACCATCAATTGCAAGCAGAAATTAATCTCTAGTTGTGTATAACTAAAGATTCAATTGCGTGCAATCAAAATCCAGATTTTTGAAATCTTTTTTTTCTTCTTCTAACGATAGCAAACCATTTTTTTCAAACCTGGAGTACATCCATCGCGATGTGAAGCTAGGAAGTTCCCATTCGGAGGCATTGTCCCGCGATTGCTAAAAGTACGCTAAAGCAATCCGATTCATTTCTCAATTCAGCTTGCCGGTTCGTTGGAAAATTAAATGTTTTATGAATTAAACGCCCTGGAGCCGAACGCTTACCTGCCCCATCCGCTGGGGAAGTCCCAAAGCAAAGAATCAAGATAATCAGCAAGGCGAAAACATTCCAGATCCTCATGATCTCGGCTAATGTAGCAACTTCTGCCCCTTAGAATAAATCTGAGGAGTTTTAACACTAGGCTTTGTTTATGTACAGGGCATATAAAACCTCGTGTAATTGCGATGGGTGGAAAGAATCTGGGTTTTTATATTGGTGTGTAGAATGGGAAGAGGGCCAACCCACCCTTCGGATAATTCAGAGCTGGAGATTTGCCAAAAATGTCACTGCAAAGGGAACTTTGGAGTCGAGCGCTACCGTTTGATCATGTTGGACTCTGCGTCAATGACTCACAAAATTATAAAATTTATGACTGGGAAGAGAACTTATGGCCCTCTATTGTAAACCCTTCCTGGGAAAAAGCCAGCACTATCCTGGGCTGCATTAATAGAGCGATAGAATCAAGAACACGTGATGTATCAGTACCGCTTTGCAAAGCCTTAGTACGGCCACGTTTGGAATACTTTTAATTGCATCCAGTTCTGGTCACTACAATGTAGGAAAGTTGTGGAGACTCTGGGAAGAGTGTGGAAAAGAGCAACAAAAACCATTAGAGGGCTGGAGGCTAAAACACACGAAGAACGGTTGCAGGAATTGGGTGTGTCAAGTGTAATGAAAAGGACTAGGGGGATACAATAGTTTTCCAATATCTAAGGGGTTGTCAAAAGAAGAGGTGGTTAACTTATTTTCCAAAGACCAGAAAGCAAGACAAGAAACAATGGATGGAAACTAATCAAGGAAAAGAACCAACCTACCAGTAGAACGAAGGAGAAATTTCCTAACAGTGAGGACAATTAACCAGTGGAACAGCTTGCCTCCAGAAGTTGTGGGTGCTCCATCACTGGAGGTTTTAAAGAAGAGACTGGACAGTCTCTTGTCTGGAGGGTATAGGGTCTCCTGCTTGAGTAGGGAGTTGGACTAGAAGACCTCTAAGGTCCCTTCCAAATCTGTTATTCTGTTACTTTGATTAAACACAGTGCTCAGTCCTTTGATTCAAGATTTATTTCATGGCAGGATTTCAGTGTCTGAAATGGTATAGGCTCACCTGCTCAAAGTCAGACTAGATGACTTTGACTTTTGTCAAACCTTGACCGTGCCAAGATTTGGTTTTTTTTCTTTCACCATCTAAAGACTGTCACTGCCGTTTCTGCACATATTCCTGGGATCACCACCGATAGTGAAGCAGTCCACTCCTCTCAAATAGATTATCCTCTCTGTCCCGTTGACTTGAATCATGCCCCATTGAGAAAACGGGAAGTAATCCATCAATATCTTCGCTGGGCCTGTGATGTTACATTATGGTGGCTAATCTCTTGGTGTTTCCCAAATGGAGGAATGATAAGAGATTGCCCCTTTGAGGAAGTAAAATCTGTTTGCATTTTCCCCCCGACGGACGGATAGCTATACTGCTGGCATGTCCATGTCTAACATCGAAGTTCTGAAATGCATAAATCTGCTCCCTCAGGTGAGTTGTTGTTGACTGGATCAAGACATTAATTCTATGTGAGAAGATCAGTACATAGTAGTGGGACATGTTTATGGGCCGTTCTGAAGGCAAACCTTTGTAAATTCTTGGGAGGCAAAAAAAAAGGTGGAAATGTAAAGGTATGCAGCGAGTATCAAAGGTATGCAGCAAGTATCAAAGTTCAAGACTCATACACAAAACGGTCTTTGATACACCTAGGTTGGGCAGGTGAGATAAGGCCACCCTTTTATTTATTCAAAGATTAGACTCCGGTGGAACACAGCCTGCTCTTCAGGATTTCGTGATTAGGGTGTCTACAATTCCCAAGTAAGTGGGCGATTCACTTCCTTATCGTCCATGGAATTCTTGTGAAGTGTCAAGGTCTACATGCTCTCTGAAGCAAGTTGGCCAGTCTACAAATGGGTGGGCCCAAAAAGATTTGGTCCCACCCGTCCCCCGGAGCAAGACATGGAATGGTGGTGAATCATATGGGGTCAAAGGTGCTCCTTTCCCATCAAGACACAAAACTCCAATTTTATAACAACTACAGGTAGTCTGTTTGTTCAGTGACCATTTGAAGCTACAATGGCATTGAAAAAAGTGACCAATGACTGTTTTTCACTGTCAGGACCCCTTCATTTCGTCTTTTCGGGGCTCTGCCATTCCGATGGGAGGGGGGAATTTTTGCCCTATTGGGGGGGGCTCACGGATGTATTTCCTTTACTTTGTTCTCTCCATCTTTGATGTATCTCTGTTGAGTGTGAAAAGGGGGAGGAATGTACCAGGGGCCATATGCCTTATCTCCACTCTGTTGTAAAGGTGATGCGATGCGTGGGAACCATCCCTCATCGCTCCGGTTCCCATAACAACTTCTCACCTGTGGATTGGCTAGAAACGAACTGGACAGCTGGGCACTGGGGAGGGTCTTATGAAGGGAAGTTTTTAATGTAACGTGTTGCGCGGGAATTCTTTAGATCTTGCCTTGCCTTTCTGCTTTCACTACCTCTCAATAAAAGTTCCTGTTGGAACAATGGCGGTTTCAAGCATTCTGCTAGCTGAAGCAGGACCTTACGCTTACGACTGTTGCACCACCTGTGGTCACATGATCAAAATTCAAATGTGGTCACAAGTTGCAATTGCATACTGCAATTTCTTCCACTGTTTAGGCCAGGGGTAGGCAACCTTGGCTCTTTTATGACTCGTGGACTTCAACTCCCAGAATTCCTGAGCCAGCCAGTCATAAAAGAGCCAAGGTTGCCTACCCCGGTTTAGGCTCTTTCTGCAAGACTATTTAGTTACAGAATCGATACTGTGCTGAATCCACATGTTAAGATTGATACGGCTGTATTCATATTCCTGAACTGTAGGTTTAGCTTTCTCAACCGTAGGTTATTTATTTATTTTTTTAGCAAGGCAGCAAAACAATATCCATTTTGGGGTGTATCAGAAGTGTCGATACACACAATTCTGTTTCCACAATAGATGGAAGGCCCGTTGCTAATTCCATTTATATATATGGCTCATTTTGTAAGCCAGCTTGAGTCATTCTGCATACAACACAGATGGCAGTGGAAATTTTACCCAAGACATAGTGAAGCTATTGCACCAAGGTCTGGTTATACGTAGATCTCACTATATGGTCTGTAGTACTGTAATTAAGTATCAATGGAGCAATATTTTCTAATCTGGTATCTACTAAGGTACCCATGTCGTTGGACTATTTGGGAAGTTGTGTGGCTCTCCCAGTGGATCTCAAAGAAGCTGTGCTCTAGTGTGTCAAAAGACAATAAGACTCATGAAACGTTGTGCAAGGACTTCATTTATTAAGACCCGAAAACATAGATTGACACTATACATTGCGGAATTGCTGTATCTGTGAACGAAATGAGAGTGTTACAGAAGCTGGGAGCTTCACATCATTTTGAATGCATTTTCTCTCTTATAGGTTTATGTACAACTGGTTTTCCCCAGCCGATAATTCTGGAATTACACGTAGAGTCCTGCTTAATATTCTTTTAGAAATCCCTAACCAGTGATCAACAGGAAGGGCCAGTTGTAGGCTAGTATTTGGTAGAGGATTTTGAGAAAAAAACATGGCTGAAGATGAGGGCCCCTCCTGACTTTGGGGCAGAACACAGCCCCACAAAGAATTCTTTGCTATTCTCCATTGTTCCTCTCTACATCAAATTTCCACCAGGAGGTCTGTTCCAAAATAAGCCAATTTCAGGTAGCAAACATGCTTGGATAGCTTCCCGATTTTCCACTGAAATGATTTTATAGTTTCTGAATCCGTAGCTGAATTCAATTCTTGCTAAAGAGCATAAAATGGTCTTCCAGGCCTACGACGCCAGACCAGAGTGGCAGACCTTTTGAAAGGAGAAGAGAACTTAGCAATGGCTATAAATGTAGATTTATTGATATGAACTTCTTTTCCGTTTCAAAAACCTCTCCAATCCAAGTAAAGTGATCTGAGTGGTATGTGCAAACTGGTTTCCACTGGATGCTTTTACAAATTACAACTGGAAACCAAGACCTAAGTCATGCTGACCAAGAACAACTTCAAGACTGAGTACTTAGAATATCAAACGTCTATATGAAAGCTGCTTGGACGCAACAAACATTTTATTCTAGTTTGCACTAAGAAGAGAAACTGACTGGGGACCTGTCAGTGCAGTTGCATCTACTTCTTCCTGCCGCCACCGCCAGCAAGCATGGTAGCCACTCTGATGAAGATGTTGAGGGTGTCCATGTAAATGCCCATACACCTGAAAAAGAGGATATAAGGAGATTGCTTGGAGAGAGTTCAGTCATAAAACATGTATTTGACTGTTATGTAGAAGAATGTCTGTAATAATAATTATTATTCTGTATTCTTTCAACTAAAGCTGTTTTTTTGCAAATAAAGTCAACTACTCCTCAATAAAGTCAACTACTCAATATTATTTTTACTAGCCAATGTGCCCCTACGTTTTCTTCCAGCTCTGAAAAACCTACCTGAAAATTACTGATCTATACCAGTGCAGATTGCTGGTTGTGGAATTCTGGGAGTTGAAGTCCACACATCTTAAGTTTGCCAAAGTTGAAAAATACTAATCTACACATTTTTTTAAAAACTTGTAAACTACTCAGACATTAGTGAGATGGGCAGTGAATTAATAGCTAAATAGCTAAAACAGATAAAATACAAATGACACAGACTATGGTTTCAGTATTAATACAATAAACCACTGTTTCTCAACTTTGGCAGCTTGAAGATGAGTGGACTTCAACTCCCAGAATTCCCAGCTGGCATGAGCACATCTTCAAATTGCCAAGATTGAGAAACATTGCAGAAAAGCCTTATTTAACAGTCCATACCGAGCTTTGGATTTAAAGACAGAATCTGCTCGGTTTGAACTGGATTTAAATTTTAAGCAATAACAGGCTGACTTTTGAACAATCATTAATATACAATTACTAATAAATTAAACAATCATTAATGCATTAATAACAATCATTAATAGGACGGCAAGAGGCTCACCTCAAGCTATTACAAAGTAACAAACTTGTCAAAACTCCTGTGTTGAAATGCTATGATATGGAAAAACCTGTGACACCCCAGTTGTACAGACAATGGCAGATTTACATTTGAAATGGGATGTCTTGTCACACTGAAAACAGGTCAGAGTAACATGGGTTGTGCAATCCTCCTTAAAGAGTATCCAGTATTTCTTCACAGGCCTTATTAATCAGGCTGAAATGCTAAAAGGATTTCAGTCAAGCACCAGAAGGCGAGACAAGAAATAGTGGACGGAAGCGAAACGAGAAGCAACCTGGAACTAAGGGGAAATTTCCTGACAGTGGGAACAATTAATCAGTGGAACGACTTGCCTCCAGAAGTTATCAGTACTCCATCACTGGAGGTTTTCAAGAAGAGACTGGACAGCCACTTGTCTGGAAAATGGTGTATTTCCTACTTGAGAAGACGGTTGGACTAGAAGACTAGGATCCCTTCCAACTCTTTGCTATTCTGTTATACCTGATCATATGGCCACAAAAGACATTTCAAACTTCCTGTTTTCAATGGCAAATCCAAGACAGGGGTTGGGAAGGTTTTTGGGTGGCCCAAGGGCTGTGTTTTTAATGAGAATTATTATTATTGATATTTTCAATAAGATGGCGCGCAACTCGCCAGCCATGGATCTCTCCCCGGGGTCTGTGTTACACCCTTCGGAGGCTCGGCTTGCGTTACCTCCAGAGAGAAGCGACACTTACGCGTTGATGGGATCGTATTTCCGCATGCCGACCACCAGGTACGGCTGACTCTCCGCACGCTTGATAACTTGCTGGGTGTCGTGAAGCAGGAACAGGCTAAAAAGGACCAACCCGCCGTAAATTGCGATAGAATACATGCCGGCGCCCAAGATGGAAGTCGGAGGCAGGAACATCGATCCTGGAGGACATGTCCGAGGGGGGAAAAATGTAAGTTTTTCCGTCCACCCACCACAAAATGACAGGAATTATCCCACGCAAGTTAGTTCGGCATGTTTTTCATGGTTGCAACATCCTGCGGTTAGATGATCCTAACCCTAACCTTCCCACCTGGTTTCTGACAAATAAAGTTTTTGTTTTGTTTTCAATTCTCATTCTCCTCATCTCTATTCTCTTCTCTTCTATTATCTGTCTTCTATTCTATTCTATTCTATTCCCATCCTACCCTACCCTACCCTATTCCATCCTATTCCCATCCCATCCCATCCTATTCTATTATCTGTCTTCTATTCTATTCTATTCTATTCTATTCTTCTATTCCCATCCTACCCTACCCTACCCTATTCCATCCTATTTCCATCCCATCCCATTCTATTCTATTATCTGTCTTCTATTCTATTCTATTCTATTCCCATCCTACCCTACCCTACTCCATTCCATCCTATTCCCATCCCATCCCATTCTATTCTATTATCTGTCTTCTATTCTATTCTATTCTTCTATTCCCATCCTACCCTACCCTACCCTATTCCATCCTATTTCCATCCCATCCCATTCTATTATCTGTCTTCTATTCTATTCTATTCCCATCCTACCCTACCCTACCCTACTCCATCCTATTCCCATCCCATCCAATTCTATTACCTGTCTTCTATTCTATTCTATTCTATTCTATTCTATTCTATTCTATTCTATTCTATTCTATTCTATTCTATTCTATTCTTCAATTCTGTTTAGTACAGGGGTATGATTGGAGAATATGTGGAGGTTATATAAACCTATCAACATTTTAAAAGCATTTTGGTAAAGATATTATTCTATTCAAAAGTCGATGGGAGAAGCTGGCATCTTGGAACAACGGGGTGATTCACTGAACAATTGTTATTTACTGAATATCCATGACAAAAAAGGTCAGAAAAAAACCCAGATCTGACGCACTTAATAACTGCCTTGCTTAGCAAGGGAGGCTCTGGTCCCAATTGGGGGCCATTAAGTCGAGGACTAAGACTTTCTATGCATCCAGAACCGACCGACCACATTAGATCCATCAAGCAAAGCCCAATTCAGAACTTTGGGCCATCTCTTAGGAGAGCCAGTCAACTTACCCACAGAGGAAACGAGCACCAGTCCCAGGCCCACGCCGAGGGGGGCTCCCATGTTCAGAAACTTCTCACTTGGGGCGCACATGGCCACGGCGGACAGCCCCCCCACGATTCCTGCTGTGTACCAAGCAGCTCGGATGAGGAGGGGGCCGCCAAGGAGAGTCAAAGGAGCCACCACCGCACCCATGACACCTAGGGGGAGAAAGAGAGGCTGGTGTGAATTGGGAAGAAAGAAAGAAAGAAAGAAAGAAATAAAGAAAGAAAGAGAAACACTGTAGCAGCTTTGTTGATCCCCTCACTTATTATTTATCGTGATTTTTTAAAAGACTAAACTAAACGGGCCCTGCATCCTGACCCTGAATGTCGCAGAGGTCCGGGAATTTTCACATCTTTTTTGAAAAAAATATATATATATATATAAGGAAAGAATACAATAAACAGAATATCTCACGTGGCATTGGGAATGGGTGTGATTGTAGGATTAAACACAACATTGGGAGAGTCTCCAAAGCAGCACCTTTAATTTAACTTGCCCCCTTTTTAATTTTTTCTTCCACTGAAGGTCGTCCGTATGACACGTGGCAGAGCGTGCAGAAAATACTTCTAACGCGAGGCACTAAAATTGTGCAGCCCAGCTAAACAATTATACAGACAAGCAGCTCTTCTCAAAATGAAGTTCAGGTGATAGGTATACATCATCCCCTTGAACAGGATGGGACACCGCTGCTCCAGGCCGTGCCACCCGCCCATTTGCTAGGCTGCATTAACAGAGGGATAGAATCAAGATCACGTGAAGTGTTAATAGCACTTTACAAGGCCTTGGTAAGGCCACACTTGGAATACTGCATCCAGTTTTGGTCACCACGATGTAAAAAAGATGTTGAGACTCTAGAAAGACTACAGAGAAGAGCAACAAAGATGATTAGGGGACTGGAGGCTAAAACATATAAGGAACGGCTGCTGGAATTGGGTATGTCTAGTTTAACGAAGAGAAGGACGAGGGGGGACATGATAGCAGTGTTCCAATATCTCAGGGGCTGCCCCAAAGAAGAGGGAGTCAAGCTATTCTCCAAGGC